TCTAAAGGATTAGGAGATTTCCTGGAATAGGACTTTCCACTGTGCTGCTGAGGGGGGGGTGTGTGTGTGTGTGTGTGTGTGTGTGTGTGTGTGTGTGTGCGTGTGCGCGCGCGTGCACATGCACGCACATAGGGCAGTGCAGGATGGGAAAACAAGAGACGTGCGCTACAGGGAAGGCGAGAGCCTCCATCCTGAGCCTGTTTTCACCTTGACTGTGAGCTCTGGAGGGTTGTCACAGAGCTGGAAAAAACCTCAGCTTCGTCTCTGACCCCACCCACTGCACCAGTTTCACAAAATAAGAAAAGCAGGATAGAACCAAGCCAAGCCTCAGGTCTCTCTTTGAGTCCAGTTCTCTTCACTGCCCCTCAGGTGGGTCTTGATCACACTAGGTCCCTAGATATTAATAAATACTACTTGAAGAAAACCAAAATAAATAGGTTTCTTTACTGTAGAAAATTTTCAGATCCTTTAGTGTACTCATTATGCTTTGTAAACATCCAGGGAAGCATTATTATATATGGTGTTTCTCAAACTTATTTGGCCAGGAAACCTTTTTTCCTGGCTACCTCCAGGTGGTCTAGTGTTCTGCAGAAGACACTCAGGAAAATACCACACTAGGCTGTCTTGCCTCGTGTGCCATTTGATATTTTACAAACACCTAAGTCTAATTGCTGCTGGATATTCCATCATATGGGCTAAGCCAAAATTTATGTGTCCATTCCTTAATTGTTAGACATAGAGATTGATTACAGTTTTTCAGCGTCATTGATAATTCTCAAATGAATTCTGGTTACTTTGTAACCATCTCTAATTATTCCTTAAGAGGCAGAATTGTCAGATCAAAGTATCTGAACATTTGCAAGATTCTTGAAACACATTGTCTAGCTGCTTTCCAGAAAGGTCATGTTCATTTATTTTCTGCCAGCTGCTGGAGGTGGGGCAGGGTGAGTGTCCATCTGTGAAAGCTGAGCAGTCTGAGAAGCTCCAAGAGCTTGAAGAAGGCCATTCCCTTCTCCCCCACCATGGGGACCTCCAGCAATTAGAAAACAAATAATCACACACACTAAGGACATAAACAGTTATTTCTTTTGAGGAGACACACTGGGTTTTCACAGTTCTCTGTGCTGTTTCTAAATAATTGAATGACATCTGAAAATTTTCTCAACATTTTAATTTGGTCTTCTAGATGTTTTGTTGGGTAGTCAGAGAAGAAGGGATTTTGAATTGGCATCTGTTGTGCTAATTTTCAAATAACCTTTCAAGGTAAGATGTAAAAATAAAGCTTTATCAGCCTCCTGTGACTGTGAACTTTATTTCTAGAGGAATCTTTTTATGTGAGCATTCCATCAGTCTTAATTCTGACCCCACAGGAATTGAATTATGTCATGTTGAGTACTGAGGCTGATTGTGGTGCTTTTGTTTTATATTTGTAAGGGGGAAAAGCGTATATGTTGTAGACTAGAAGTGATTTATCCTTTTTGTCCTTCACCAAGATCACCCTTTGATCAATGCATTATTGGGTTTTGGAACTGAGACGTGAACTTCTAACTCATTAAAACCCTCAAGTCCCCAGCAATAAAGTCAGTTAAGTGGCTTCACCAACAGATTTATTTCAAAGTGATTCCATTTGGAGGAAGGAAAGAATGAGTAATGCATTATATACCAAGATCTCTTCAATAATTCATGAGACCTCCACACCAGTGACCGTTTTAGATTCAGTTCATGGTGTTTTAGCCTAAAATGAACTCTCAAGACACCCGCAGTGTGCTCCTCTTTGAGCTTGAGTCCATGAATGTCTTTACTTTTGGGAAATAAAGTTTGCATTGACTGCTACTTTGTGTGTTTATGTGAACCACTCTTATATGGAGACTATTTTGAAAAAAATGGGCATTTTGGATAATTGGGGTAAAAAGAGACTGTATCTGCAGTCCTTACGCTTTGAAAAGTAGGAAAGTTTCAAAAAATTCTTACTTTTTCCTCCCTTTGGGCAGGAATTCTGATTTTGTTTTTTAAGTGTAAGGAGTAGATTGCCAAATGGTGAGTTAAAAATAGATTTATGAATGCCTAATAATTATGCCAGACACAGTGTTGGGCAGTCAGTGAGTATGGAAAGGCATGCATGTGAGAAATGTCGCTGTCCCCAAGTGCGTTCTGGAATGGGGGCAGTGGGTGGGGCCAGCCCTTCGGCATCTTCGGCCACCGGACAGTTCAGCTGTGAACTCCTTGGTTCACCCTGAGCTTCGTCCAACCTTCTCCCTTCTCTGAAACCTGCAGAGGCTCCAGAGTCCTTTCTCTTCAGGATGGAGACCTGCATGGAGGGATGGAGGCAGGGAGGGTGGCCCACTTCCTTTCCACACTGTTGTGAGTGCCTCACTGGCATTCCTCAGTGCAGTAACAGGGAAACCTGGGGGCTCAGATTATTTCCAGATACCATCATTTCAGTTTGGCAAGTATTGATCCAATGATGAGTATCGTGGGAAAGAAAATAATGAGTTAGAGTTTTGTTGCTTGCCAGAAAAGCTTCAGGATCCACTTCTCCTTCCTCCCTGCTCTCTCCTCACTGCCCAATAAAAACAGCTGCTTTGTTCAAAACTTAAAAACCGTATTACTTAAAACTCATTGTAAAAAATTATGCTATACAGATGCTTATAAGGAAAATTTAAAATCACTGGAAATCCCACCTGTTAAGATTTAGAGGAACCTCGTGTTATTCCTGCACACAGAGACATACTCCCAACACACATTTTACCCTATGTTACATTATCATATAATAATAAATTAAGTACATAATAAATGATACATTATATGCTGTATGTGCTGTTTTGAGACTATTTTTCATCTAACAGTATGTCAAAGATATCTTTTCCTGTAAACAAAAATCATCATTTTAATGGCTATAGAATATTATTACATACATATATGTATTAATCTGTGCACAAAATAACATAGACTGGGTGGCTTAAACAACACACGTTGATTTCTTACCATTTGGGAGCTGGGAAGGCCAAGATTAAGGTGCCGGCATATGCAGTGCCTGTGAGGGCCCCCTTTCTGGTATGCAGATACTCACCTTCTTGCTGTATCTCACATAGGGGCAGGGCGGGGAGGGAAGAGAGATCTGGTCTCCTTCTCTGCGTATAAGGGACTCATTCCATCAGTGACCTCATCTAATACTAATTACCTCCCAAAGGCCCCACCTCCTAATACCACCACGTTGGGAGTTAGGGTTTCAATACATGGATTTTAGGGGAGACACAAACATTCGGTTCTTAACATTATACCATGAGTTAATTCCTGTTTGCTCCCGTATACAGCACAGGATGTGTCTTCCTGTGTGTGATGGTCATTCCAGTGTATGTTCCTCTCAGTGGAATTGCTGGGTCGAATGGGACACACATTTCAACTTTTGATTATGTTACCAACAGTTCCTTTGAAAGAAGATATTCAGCACATTCCATACAGAGTATGTGTGCCTCCCTTCTGAAACCTACACCAGCTCTGAACATCACACATCTTTTTACGATGTAACAATTTATAAGTGTCTCCTTATTTTTATTGGTGTTCCTCCAATTCTAATTGAATGTGTTTTAAAATATTTATTGGCAATTTATGTGTTCTGTGATTTACCTATATCTATATCTTTGTCCATTTTTCTATTAAGCCATCTTTTTCTTACTGACTTTCAAAACCCCTACAGGATACTTTTTTTTTTTTTGATATTGAATCTCACTCTGTCTTCCAGGCTGGCATGCAGTTTTGCAATCTTAGCTCACTGCAACCTCTGCCCCCCGGGTTCTAGCGTTCCTCCTGCCTCAGCCTCCTGAGTAGCTGAGATTACAGGCATCTGCCACGCCCAGCTAATTTTTGTATTTTTAGTAGAGACGGGGTTTCACCATATTGGCCAGGCTGGTCTCAAACTCCTGACCTCAGGTGATCCTGCCTGCCCCAGCCTCCCAAGTGTTGGGATTACAGGTGTGAGCCACCACATTCGGCCCCTCCAGGATACTTTTTAATTAAAAGACTGGACCCTTCTCCAAAATACATATAAAGTGCATGCATTCTGAGACCATTGAGCTCCCCTGTCTGGGGATGAATGATGCTAGTGACCAGCGGCACTTGCTTTGTTAACATTTTGGAATGGAGCTCCTCTGCTGTCTTGTCATTTGTGGACCTTAGGTAGGTGAGGAAGCCCCGCGTTGGAGAGGTGGCAGCCCTTCAGACCCGAGGCAGCTGCTGCCAAAGCTGCCCTTGCTGATTGGTCTTCATTAACGGCTCAGCAAGGGTCCTGTGATCTTTGCCAGTGGTCCCTTTCCCTCTCCTTGCCATACTTCTTTCCTTTACTGCTGCTTAATTCTAATGAGATGGCCCTGGGTCGGTCAGTCATATTGGAGAAATGATGAGCAGCAGAGAAAAGAACATTCACAAGATGGTAGCATTTAAAATAAAATTTGTTTTTGGCTTTTACCCAAGAGTAGATTTCATGGTCAGTAAGCCACAAGTATATATATATGTTGATGAGGAGGAAAATGTCTTATTTAATATGAACCCTGGGGCTAGGCGTAGTGGCTCACACCTGTAATACCAGCACTTTGAGAGGCCGAGGCAGGTGGATCACCTGAGGTCAGGAGTTTGAGACCAGCCTGGCCAGCATGGTGAAACTCTGTCTCTAATAAAAATAGAAAAATGATCCAGATGTGGTGGCGCATGCCTGTAATCCTGGCTACTCCAGAGGTCAAGGCACAAGAATCACTTGAACCCAGGAGGTGGAGGTTGCAGTGAGCCAAGGTTATGCCATTGCACTCTAGTCTGAGTGACAAGAGTGAAACTCCATCTCAAAAAAATAAAATAAAATAAAGAATAACATGAACCCTGGAAAAATTAGATGGGGAAGGAATTTAGGGATCCTATAGGGATGATGTAGGATAAAACTTTTATGTTTAATTTGGGATTGAATAAAGTCTGTTCACTTTGGCCTAAAACTGTTCATTGTTCTTAAACAGTTTCATTCATTGGCTCCCATGTACTATCGAGGCTCAGCTGCAGCTGTTATCGTGTATGATATTACCAAGCAGGTAAGAATGTCTCCTTCAGAATTTAGATGTCGTTTACGGTGGTTCTCTCTTAGAGAGACTGAAGCAAAGACGTCACTGCTTGCGTCTTCCCAGTAGCGTGCCACTATATATTGAGTTTATTTCGTGTATATGTAACAAAGCATCCCATATTTATCTGCTAAATTAAACAACAATGACCATTCATTCTTAAAATTGACTGTAGAGGCAAAGTCATGCCTGCTAGTACTATTCTGCAGAATGTCAGCTTTTAAAGAAAAGGAAACTTGTTTTTAAGTTCTGCATGCTTTATAATCACAGAATACTTATTTTTGTTAGTGTTTCAATCATGCTACTTACTTAAAATGCCAAGCGTAACATTTGTGTGCATGTCAGTAAATCTTTGTGTGTTTGCGTATATATATTTTTAGTTATAATGTTGAAGGTTTTAGACTTCTGTCAACAAATAACTGCAGTAGTTTGATGACATTTTTTTCCCACTCCTGCAAATTGAATTCTTTGCTTTTTTCCTCTGGAGTGTTGACTCAGCACATAAGACGATCAGTTTAGTGACCCATCACTATTACCTTCCACGAGTTCCCGACCGCTTCTACCTAAATGTGGCGTGTTGCCTTTGACCTGTTTTCTAGAGGACGATTGTGAGCGAAGGGCCAACAGGAAGACAGGACCCTAGGGATACACGATTCTTTCTAAGCATGAGCATTGACTTAGTCCTGTTATTCTTATTCATGCAGAGTCCAGGCTATCATTTTAAACTAACATTATTTATAGGAGAAAAATCACTGATATGATTTTCTTCACTAGATCCAGTTTTAATTTTAGAAAACTTTACATGGTCTATTTAAGTGTATTTCAGCTAACATTAACTTCTGTGCCTAGACAGAGGTAGTATGTTCATCTGCATGAGTCTCCTAAAAATATTTTTCTCCATTAAATTGTACTGGGCTTGTATTTCTGCTTGGTTGAAATGTTATATTGAGGGGTTTTTCAAATGATTTGTGTATACTGTTGGTTTAGGATTCATTTTACACCTTGAAGAAATGGGTCAAGGAGCTGAAAGAACATGGTCCGGAAAACATTGTAATGGCCATCGCTGGAAACAAGTGCGACCTCTCAGATATTAGGTAAGACGCATTTTAATATCTTTTGTGTAGATATTATCCTCCGTCCCTGAATGTCATCCCTGAGTGTACAAAGGTATCATGCCTTTGTTATGTCTGCCCTCAGTGTAATAATTAATGGCCTTTCACTTGTGGTAGTCAATGTGGCATTGATTCAACCAGAGAAGAAATAAGGGAAAATAATAGGGAAATGCAAATCTGGTGTACCATACAATGATAAATGTTAAAATTATAATTCCTGTACATAGCACAGTTACATCCTGACTCTACATATCTTTGGGCTAAATGGTTTTATTATTTCTGTTGTTACTTTTTCCATTTTTATTATCATTATGACTACTAGTACAATTTTAGTAACACTACGGTAATGGTCATCCCTATCGTAATGACCATTAGAATTCTTAAAATTTTTCATGGCATACCTGTTTGTTTTAGTTCTAGATTTTACCTTAAGAATATAGTCAAGTACGTAATCTCACTATTTTGTTCTTAAATCAGAATATGACACATTGTATGTGAGTACCTTGACTTCCCCCAGTGATACTGGGTTATTGAACTTCCCGTATCTGGAAGGAAGTTGTGGGGATCCAGTACACATGAATTAGAGATTTGATGATAGCTTTGCCTAGCCTGGTAAGCTAGCTATTTTACTAAATAAATACATTATTTAAAAAAGGAAATAGTGAATTTGTGGTATCTCCATTCTCTTGGTTAATTTAATTCTCAGGAATTCTAGTAGCTGATTTTCATAAAGACAACTACATCATGCTTCTGGTTTTGCTAATCAAAATGTGATTAAACCAAAGTGAAATAAATAGTCGATGGAAATGGATCTTGCAAAAGCTCTTAACATAGCATTTAACAAATTGTTCTGTTTCTTTGGTATTTCAAAAGTTTGTATCACCTTGCATCTGGTTGGTTTATAATAACAGCCATAAACACCACTTAATCATTTATTTTTCTAAGATTTGGACAGATCTTCAAACTTCCCAGACTTAGTTCAGATATCCACCTCCTTTACTGTAAACCTTAAACAGCTTGCTTGTCTAGTGTTCCCAGCAGAATCACCTTAACCTTGGTCATGGGAAGGATGAGGTGGGTGTGTAGAGAGAACCGTTGCTGAGAGAAGGTTCTATCTCTAAAACCCCTTAATTATGGGACTAATGTGCACCTTTGAGGGGAACCAAGTTTTATGTATCGTGGGAATGCTGATGGACTAGCATTTAAGCAGAGAACGATTTAAACTTGCATAGTATCAGTTAGGATTCTTGGTTACGTGGATCCGAAACACCATTGAAATTCAGGAGAAAGGGGAATTATTGGAAGGTACTGGTATCCACATGGTAAAAACAGAACTGCCCTCAGCTCTGACATTTGACATGTTCCAGAGTTAGTCTCTGGAGAGATGCTGGCCTGGCATTGTCTTCATTTCCAGTCTAAAACGCCAGGGAGGAACTCCCCACATTGAGAACAGGCGTGTGTGGCCAGGAGGGGATTGGTAGTACGAGATGGTATTTCCCAACATTACTATGAGAATGGGAAGGCAGGTGGTCTTGAAGAAGGACAGCTCCTAGAAAAGTGTAGCCTGGCCAGACAAAAGTTATCTGTGACATATAGATGTGGCTACCAGCACGCAAGGATACGCTGTGTTTCGGGGTGGAATTCACCTTTTATGCACAGGTACAACATTCTTCTTGATGAGCATTCTGATTTGTGCTCAGCTGATTCTTATATGTGCAATTTTCAATGTGCCCCAGCTAACATAATCTATTCATCTCACTTCCAACCGTGAATTAACTTACAGCCTCTCTGTCCCAGTGGGAGAAAATGCAGGGCCATCCAGCTGCTACCTGTAGTGGTGGTGTCATGGGGCCACTGTCCCATGCATCCAGCCTCCCTGGTAATATCTTTTCTCCTCTTGTTTGGCCTCAGTGAGGTCTGAATGTGGCTCCTCGAGATCCTGCAGTTGTATTTTAAAATGTGGCATGTATATCTTTTGTTATACACAGTTATTTTAGATGGTATGTGTTATTGAATCAGGCAACAAGAAGCTGACTGCCTTTAAAACTCTGATTAGGTCAGTGAGAAAGACTAGATGGACACTAATTCATTTTTAATTTTTAGACATTTAATATGTTGTATTGAGGTAAATTACAAAACATCACGATCACCTGTTTTAAGTGTACAGTTCAATGACTGTTAGTGTATTTTTAGAGTTGTGTAATCATCTCATATCTAATTTTAGAACATTTCCGTCACTCTGTGAAGAACGTCATGCCCATTTATATTCACTCTCAATTTCCACCTCCTTCCAGCACTAGTAATCACTAATCTACCTTTTTGTTCCTCTAAATTTGCTTTTTCTAGACATTTTACATAAATGGAATCGTACAATATGTGGTCTTTTGTGACCACCTTCTTTCAGTTAAGCATGTGTCAGTGATGCATTCATTTTTATGACTGAATAATATTTCATTGTGTGGATATACCACATTTTATTTATTCATTTACACATGAACATTTGAATTGCTTCTACTTTTTTGTTATTATGAAAAATGTTCCTATGAACAATCATGTACAAATTTTATGTGGATGTATGTTTTCATCTCTCTAGGATATGTACCTAGGAGTGGCATTTCTGTGTCATATGATAACTCTTTTTAATAATTTTAGGAACTCATAATCTGTTTTCCAAAGTAACTGCAAGATATCCATATCCTCACCAACATTTATTGCCTTTTTGATTATAGGCATCCCAGTGGGTGTGAGATTGTGTCATTGTGGTTTTCCCAATGACTAATAATGTTATAGTAAATATCTTTTCATATGTTTATTGGCCATTTGTATATCTTCTTTGGAGAAATGTCTCTTCAAATCCTTTGCCTAAATTTTAGTTGGATTGTCTTTTTATTATTGAGTTATAAGGGTTCTTTATGTACTCTGAATAAAAGTCTCTTATCAAACATATAATTCGCAAATATTTCCTCTCATTCTGTGGATTGTCTTTTCATAATTTTTACTGTGTGCAAAAGTTTATGTCCAGCTTATCATGTTTTTCTTTTATCTCTTGTTCACAAGTGATTGGCTAAATGGACATCACAAATATTTATTCATGTTTTCTTAGTGCTTACATTTAGGTCTGTCATCCATGTTGAGTTACTTTTTGTATGTAATGTAAGATGGGGTCCAAATTAATCTTTTTCCATGTGGATATCTAATTATCCCCACACCAGTTGTTGAAGAGATAGTTTCTCTCCCATTGAATCTTTTGGGGTACTTTTATCTAAAACTGGTCAACCATAAATGTGATCTTGTTTTTATGCTCTTAACTTTATTAGTTGTTCTACACGTCTGTCCTGACACTAGTGTTATACTATTTTGATTGCTGTAGCTTTGTAGTAAGTTTGAAATTAAAAATTGTGAGTCCTTCAACTTTGTTCTTTTTTCAAGATTGTTTGACTATTCTGGACCCTTAACATTTTCATATGAATTGTAGGATCTATTTCTTAATTTCTGAAAAACAGAAGGCAACTTTGATTTTAATAGAAATTGTGTTGAGTCTTTAGACCAATTCAGGTGTTAATCCCATTTTAACAATTTTAAGTCTTCCCATCCATCAATGTAGAATGTCTTTTCATTTCATTACATCTTCTTTAATTTCTTTTAGCAACATTTTATAGCTTTCAGTTTACAAGTCTTGCATTTGTTTTATTTATTCTTAAGTATTTGATTTTTTTTATGGTATTGTGAATGGGATTGTTTTCTTATTTATGGCATTGCTTTTTGTTAGTGTGTAGAAATACAATTGACTTTTGTATGTTTATCTTGTATCCTATAACTTTCCTGAACTCATTTATTACTTTTAGTTGTTTTTTAGTAAATTATCTGGAGTTATCTATATATGAGATTATATTATCTGGGAATAAAGACTATTTTACTTCTTTCTTTCCGATATGTGTGCCTTTTAGTTCTTTTTCTTGACCAATTTCTCTGGCTGGAATCTCTAAAACAATCTGGAATAAAAGTAATGAGAGTGCACATTCTTGTTTCTTCCTGATCTTAGGGATAAAGCATTTAGTCTTTCTCCAGTAAGTATCACACTAACTGGTTTTACATATATCATTTTTATTCTGTTGAAGAAGTTTCCTTCTGTTCCTAGTTTGTTGAAGGTTTTTTGTCATGATCGAATGTTGGATTTTTTCCAAAACAATTTTTGCATATATAATTACATGTTAATTGATTTTTGGATGTGAAATTAGTCTTGCATTCCTGGGATAAATCACACTTGGTCATGATGCATAATCCTTTTTATACATTGCTGGGTTTAGTTTGCTAGTGTTTTGTTAAGGATTTTTATGTCTATATTCTTAAAGGGTATTAGTCTGTAGTTTCCATTTCTTACAATATCTTTGTCTAGCATTGGTATCAGGGCAATAACAGTCCTATAGAATGAGTTGGTAAGTGTTCCCACCTCCTCTGTTTTCTAGAAGAATTTGTGAAGGATTGATGTCATTTCTTTTTGTTTCTCTACATCAACTTGGTCTCCATGATGTCAATTCTTTTTTTAAATTTTATATTAGATTTATTTTTTGAAAGATAAGCATTGTGTTTTAAAACACATAACAATACTATATGATAACATGTAAAAAATTAAATGGTTCCTTAATATCAACTATACAGTGTTAAAATGCACTTTGTTTGAATCCAGAAAAATGGAGTCTATACATTGCAATGAATTGTAGTTACACGTCAATCTTTTAGTCCATGGGTTACCCCTACCCTGCCTTTTTTCCCTTTGAAATTGATTTATTGAAGAAACAGATTCATTTCTCCTACACCGCTTTATTAAGTGTGAATTTTTCTTATTGTTTCCTAACGGTGTTATTTAACTTGCTCCCCTATGCCCTTTAAATAAATTGTTAGATTTAGACTTGGTCAGAATCTAACTGTTGATAATCTACTAGGTGATTATGGTTAGCAAAATGGTGGCATTCAAATTCTAT